AGCTCCCTGCTTGTGCCCTAGGAAAGCAGTCAAGGACGGCCCAAGGCCTTAAAAACCTGCACCTGCGTGGGAGACCCAGAGGAGCTCCTGGCTCCTGGCTTCGGATCAGCACAGCTTTGACTGTTGTGGTCACTTGAGGAGTGAACCATCAGACGGAAAATCTTCCTCTCTGTCTCTCCTCCCTTATATATATCTGACTTTGAAATAAAAATGAGTCTTTTAAAAATGAAAAAAAAAAAAAAAAGTAAAACAAATAAACAGAAAACAACTGGCTGCATTGGCCAGGGCTGAGTCAGCCCATTGTCAGGAGCCAGAAGCTTCATCTACGTCTGTCACATGAGTGCAGGAGTCCCAGCACCTCACCAATCTTCCACTGCTTTTCTCAGGTCATTAGCAGAGAGCTGGATCAAAGTGGAGCCATCAGGATTCTCAACTGGAGCCCACATGGGAGTGCTAACACGCTAAATGAAAGCAATACCTCAGACCACGAGGCAAAAGATATGAAGGAAGAATTGACTCAAACGGAAATGTAAAACAGCACATGTAAAGACAATGGCATGTCATTAGAAAATTACAAATTCAAAACACAATTGCATGGCAGTGATTCATAACTGGTGAACTATCAAAACCACTTGAGCAAGACCCTCGGAGCATGCCCCACATCCGGGACCTGGGGAAGGTGGGAAACTGGGTGGGGCTTCTCCCTCAATATCCCCTGTACCTCAGATACAAGAAGGAAACAATATGGAAATAATAGTCTTACCAAGTTTCCTATAGCCCTTGAACTTTTTTACCCTAATCGACTACAAGTGGCGGAACAAGGGGCCTATATGAACTTGGACTGTGACCCTCTAACACATAAAGCCATGAATACCTTCTCTCAGCTACTTGTGAGAATGGCAAAAGCTGGCAAATCCAGGAAATTGGTACTAGGGAGTAGGATTGCTGTTAATATTACATTTTAATTTGGAAGCAGCTTTAATTATTTGATTGATTACATGGTAATTCTTGGGGCTGGCATTGTGGCATAGTACGTTAAGCCACAGCAAGTGACACCAGTGTCCCATTAGGGCACAGGTTCATAAACTCGGTCTGGGCTAATGCATTTAGGAATAAGAGTGGAAGATGGATCAAGTGCTTCAGTCCCTTCAAGCAAGGGATGCGGGGGATCTGGAGGAAACCCGGGGCTCCTGCTTAATCCTGTCCTAGTCATGGCCACGTTGGCCATTTGGGGAGTAAATCAAGGGAAAAAAGCTATTGTTCTCTCTGCCTTTCAAAAAAATAAGTGTTGGAATTTCTCCAGAGCCTGGACAGAATAGGCTAATAAAGCACAACGTGTCAAAGGTAATTGTGGGGACGGACATGTTTAGAAGATAAAGGAAAACAAAGAGAGCTTGAGGGCCCCGGCTAAAGCAACCATGACCAGAAAGATGACTAACATGCAACAAAGGCCATTGGAGTGAGATTTTAGAGAAAAATGCAAAAATCTAATGGGAACTGGACAAAAGGCTACCTTTTTAAGCTGCTGGCAAGTGTAAGGAGTGACTAGAACAATGACCCTGAGTCTGACCCCACCCTCCGGGAATGCCTTGCATGCCTTCACGCCCAGTACTACCTTCAATCTCCTAGGTCTCTGCCCCCTTAAGGCCCACTTGCCTAAGTAAGCTTAGAGACCTCCACCAATCTCCTGAGGAATTTTACAAATTCCCAATACCCACCTGGAGGCTATAAAAGTGCCTCTTCTTTTCATTTCTTTCCTCTCCTCTGCTCTTCTCTCACTTTCTCTGTCCCACTGCTTCTTCCCCCTCCAGAATGACGACCGCTTGTGTGGTTCACTTGCTGCATCTGGCATCTTAGGTTTATGGTGAAAAAAAAAAAAACAAAAACCACAACAAGAATCCGGGCTGCATTCCCTGCGTTTACACTGAGTGGGAGGCTGAATGTGAACATGGTGGACAACTTATTTGGTGGAGATTTCAAGGCAGCAAAGCATGCAGGCTGGGTCGAGGGCAAAAGCTTACTGACTAAATCTTTGCTTTGCATATGCTGGGATCCCATATGGGTACTGGTCCGTATCCCAGCTTCTCATCTTCCCATCCAGCACACTGCTTGTGACCTGAGAAAGCAGCTGAGGATGGCCCAAAGCCTTGGGACCCTGCACCTACATGGGAGACCCGGAAAAAGCTCCTGACTTTGGATCAGTTCTTCTCTGGCTGCTGCAGCCACTGAGAATGTACCAGCAGCTGGAGGACCTTTCTGTTTCTCCTCTGTAAAAACAGCCTTTTCCATTTAAAAAAAAAAGTCTTTAAAAAAATGAAAGCAGGAGAATGATTGTTGCTGTCTGCTGGTGGTAAGATTTTCCATAGGAAAAAGGAGCAGAAACTTCTAGAGCAAAGGAAAAGATTTTAAAATCTCACAACCTGGCCTGTAAAAGAGGGTGGAAAAAATCAGCAATTGGGTGTGGAAATAGTGGAGAAATCAGGAGCCACATGAAAGAATACAAGCTTGGGGAGCCTGTTGCTAATCAGGTAAGACAAGGGAGAGGCCTTCAAAGGAATTTCAGAGATTTCCAGACACACCCTGCCCAGGCATTGAAGTGCAAATCAGTTCCAAAAAAACCGCACAGGGCAGAGTTCAGTCAAGCTGGAACACTAAGGTGTCCTGTTCATTAGGAACCCCGCTGTACTATGTGAGGCTGGCAGAAGGGCTCCGAGGAAAGGGCAGGCTCAGTGCCAGCAGGTCTTGTGAGGGTCATGTTGGCATCATGCCTTGGTGTGGGCCACAGGATGCAGCTGAGCAGACTGTAAGAGCTAAGGACTCATGGTGGTTTACACTGAAATTTCAGAGAAAAGCCTCACTGCTCTGGGTAGTCTGGGGCTGCAGCAGCAGGGTGCAGGTCATACTGGAAGGCCATAGGAAGATTGCTATAGGTCCTTCCCTGGGTCAGTGGGGGCTGGTGGCAGCAACAGAAGCAGCAGCAACAGAAGCTGTGGTGACAGGGCTGGCCACCAGCAGCGGCAAAGGCACGAAGATGCTTGATGCACTGCCCAAGGCTGGACTGTGGCTGGGGCTGGGACAGGCACAGCGCCCTCAAAGTGCCTAAGCGAAGCATCTGGAATCCATTCAAAGTTAAACCCCTGGGGAAAAACGATTAGCCAAGACTTACTGGAAGAAAAGAGAACTGCCTGGTGGGAACACAATGTGAAGTCCCATAAAAGTCGACAAGACCAAAAGACCCCAGGAGAGTTACCCTGGCCCAAGGCAGCAGAACCTCAGAAAGTCTGGACCTAATTGTAAGACTCTGTGCTCAGCTAGGGTGCAACCAGACCTGCAGAAACTGCTCAGGGGGGCAGTGCAGCACCTCAGGAAAAAGCTCCTGGAAATATGCAACAGAACTCAGAAACTGGAGATTACTAGCCCATTCAGAGGAGCAAAGCCAGGCTGCAGTTTACAGAGAGGAACATGATATAGATGAATGAACCGAAAGCAGGAAGAGAGATATGAAGATAACCTCAGGCGGGCATAATATAATGGCCACCAAGTAGATCTCCCAGGGGAGTGTGTGCAGCAACACCATGCAGCGGTGGGAGTATCCCACCACAGGCTGCTACAGGTATTATTTCTACTGTCTGAGCAAAGCCAACCACATGACAACACACAAGAGCAAGTGCCTGGGAATGGGAGACCTGGAGGAAGTTCCTTTTTCCTGGCTTCGGATTGGCATTGTGGTCACTTGGGGCCCACAATGGCCTAGTGTGTAAAGTCCTCACCTTGAACATGCCAGGATCCCATGCAGTCACATGGGGAGTGAATCATCAGGTGGAAGATCTTCCTTTCTGAATATCTGACTTTGCAAAAAATAAATAAATAAATAAATAAATAAATCTTTAATAAATAAGTAAATCTTTTTTAAAAAATATATCAGCCTCACCAAGCACCGTCAACACGGACACCAAGGACTACATCCCAACCGCTAACGAGACCACGGGGAATAGGAATGCCTTTGGAGGCCGAGAACTCTGAGGTCACCCACCCCCATCGGGAGCCTCCACAGGGGATGGAAGAAGTCCAAACTCTGCAGTGCAGAAACCAGTGTCATCGGAACAACGGCCAGGAGCCCTGAGCGATCTGCAGAAACAGAAGAATAATAAACTTTCTTCGGGAATAGGGAGGCGAGCTCTCTCTGGTCCGAGCCTGGCACATGCTCTGGGTCCCCACCCTCCCTCGCAATGACCATTAGGATCGCTCCAGTATCCCCTCAAAACAAACAAACAAATATACAAACAAACAAAACCTAGAATCTAGAATGGGGAGACAACAACATGGAAAGCTTAGAATCGGACAGGAAACGCCCAGCGTGGACCTAAACATGCCTCACTAGGTGGGACACAAAGATTAGTTACGCCTCACTGGGGCATTGGGGATTTCTCTGCACACCCATCCTAAAAAATGTACTGTACCCAAACTGATAACTGTATGGAATCAGGTTGAATATAAACCAAAATTGAAATGTCTATGAAGAAGTCATTGGATGTAGTTAAGAAACCGCATCTTCCTATCAACATACTATTAATCAATACCATGTCAATTAATGCCATAAGGTTGTAAATGGCTGTTGATGTTATGTCGGGGCCTTTAATTGATTGGGATGATGCTTTGCTGGCTTCAGACCAGAGATGGTCTCATCAAGAAATCGTTATACAAAAAGCAGAACTGGCTTTTGCCTCTGCTTTTCTGCTTCCTATCTCACTACATGCTCATTCTTGCAAATACTCTGTGACAGGTAAATTTCTTATGGTTTCAAAAATGGGTGAACCAACAGCTTTTCCTGATCTTGGATTGGAAACCTTTAAAACCCTAAGTGAAAAAAATCCCCTTATTCTTCAGTGGCTTATTGCAAAAATATTTTTGCACTATATAATGAACAAAGCTAGGTTGATTTACCTCAGAAATCTCCTGCAGCAGCAGTCAGGAAAGTTCTGAGAATCTGCTTTCAGTGGAGTCTATGCATAATTCAGGTGAGCCAGATAATAATAGTCAGAGGGCACAAAACTCAGAAAGCCGTAGCTACACGCATTTTTTTAGCCTGGTTATGATAAAACAAAAAAGCCATTAGCAGAGTGGTATAGGTAAATTCATTCTATTCTCAGGATACAAGTACAAACTCAGGAGAAAGATGATATTTCTAAAAGCAGTTTCTAGACAGAACCAAGCATGTTGCATACTTTGGAAAGGACTTCACCTTTCCCCATTCTAACAGAGACCTCTCTAACTGCCTATTAGCCCAGCAAACACATGATTTATTGTAGTGATGAAACAGTGACTAACAAATACTTCTATGCATTGACCTTCAAGGAATGAACATTTACACCATACAAAACCTGTCCCTGAACATTTATGTTACAATACTAGAAACATCTATTATACAACAGTAGAAACATCTACTGTCAGCTACTGAATGGATAAAAATGGTGTCATAGCCACAAACTGAAACATTATACAGTAAAGAAAAGATATAAATCAGCAACACAGGTGAATCTGCTATTTCTGTCACTAAATGACAGATGTGAGACTATAACAAGTGGGCCCAGCATGATGGCATAGCAGCTAAAGTCCTCACTTTGAACACACTGGGATGACATATAGGTGCTGGTTCCAAACATGGCAGTCCCATTTCCCATCCAGCTCCCTACTGTGGCCTGCGAAATCAGTCAAGGACAGCCCAAAGCCTTTGGATCTTTGCCTGTGTGGGAGACCTGGAGGAAGTTCCTGGCTCCTGGCTTCAGAATGGTGCCAGGAGTGAATTATTGGATGGAAGAACTTCCTCTCTGTCTCTTCTACTTTCTGTGTATCTGTCTTTGCAATAAAAACAAATAAATCTTTTTTAAAAAATGATTACAGTGCCGGGCAGCGTGGCCTAGTGGCTAAAGTCCTCGCCTTGAACGCCACGGCTTCAGATCGGCATAGCATCCGCATCGGTTGCGCTCACTTGTGGAGTGAATCATCAGATGGAAGATCTTCCTCTCTGTCTCTCCTCCTCTCTGTATATCTGACCTTCCAATAAATAAATAAATAAATCTAAAAAAAAAAAAAAAAAAAAGATTACAACAGGCTGGGAGTTACACTACAGCCTAGCGGCTAACCGCCCGCCTTACATGCACTGGGATCCTCTAGATACCGGCCCTGTCCTGGCTGTTCAGCTTCCCATCCAGCTCCCTGCTTGTGGTCTGAGAAACCAGTAAAGGATGGCTCAAAGCATTGGGACCCTGCACTTGTGAGGAAGACCCTGGCACCTAGTTTGGATTAGTCAGCTCTGACAGTTGTGGCCACTTGGGGAGTGAACAACAGATGGAAGATCTTTCTCCTTCTCTCTCTCTATCTGCCTTTCCAATAAAAATAAATTTGAAAAAAAAGAGACTATACTAAGCTACATACTGCATGATTCATTTACTTGACACTCTGGAAAAGGTAAAATCATGGGTGTGAGACAGAAATGACTGATTTCCACAAACGGGGTTTGGTGCAAAGGGCTGAAAAGTAAAACACCTAGAGAAATTGTGAAAATGATAGAACTATTCCACATGGTACTATAATGCAGATTTACATGCCTCTATTCATTTACCAAAGCCTAAAGAACTATGTACCATCCAGGGTGCATTTTATTGTGTGTGAATTAGAACCAACAAAGGAATATTTTTAGTTAGCAAAATAACACTTACAAAAAGGCAACAACCATCATTTTAGTGAATGTGTAAAGAAATATTCCATTTTTATAGTACTGTTGAGAAGTTCTACAACTTTTTCCTGGGCAATTCAACAGCAGCTTTCAGATGCTCTGAAAAGTTTGCATAAATCAAACTGGGAAATTCCAATCTCGCAAATACTAAAACCAACACATACAGTTTAATCCACAATGATGTTCTTTTTATGTAAAACTTATAGGCAAAATTTGTTACATTCAGTAACATAAAATCAAAATCAATTTCATTATTCATATTTTATAGTAATATAAAAACAGATGAAAAACATCAAACACAATGTATAACAATTTTATTATAAAATTGCTATACATTATTTTTAAGACTGATAGTAATTATACCTAAATGTTACTAATTTCTGACCTATAAAATGACGCATGTCCTTTACTCTTTCACATTACTTTTTAACAATGACCATCTATTACTTTTCTTATCACCAAAAAAAATTTTCCTAAAAAAGTACAGTGCAATCAGTTGCCATTTTCTCTCAAAAAGCCATACTGTTGTTCACTGGGTGTTTGCTGTTCTCCTGCTCCCTAAAGTTGTTGCACTCCCTAGCAAAGTGCGGGACTCACTGACAATGTACACCTGCCAAAGTGAGAGAAGAATGCAGTATCACTCAAGGGCAAAAAAATCTATAAGCTGGGCCTGGCGGCGTGGCCTAGTGGCTAAAGTCCTCGCCCTGAACGCCCTGGGATCCCATATGGGCGCCGATTATAATCACGGCAGTTCTACTTCCCATCCAGCTCCCTGCTTGTGGCCTGGGAAAGCAGTGGAGGATGACCCAAAGCCTTGGGACCCTGCACCCGTGTGGGAGACCCAGAAGAAGTTCCTGGCTCCTGGCTTCGGATCGGCATAGCATCGGCCATTGTGCTCACTTGGGGAGTGAATCATCGAATGGGAGATCTTCCTCTCTGTCTTTCCTCCTCTCTGTATATCTGACTTTCCAATAAATAAATCTTTAAAAAAAAAAATCTCTATGAGCTACATTGGGTTTCTAAGCAACAAGATGATAATGGAGTTAATGTCCGTGATACCTGTACAAAATAGGTATTTTTAAAAGCCATAAGGAGTGGTGCCATGAAGCAATGCAACACTGGTGACACTGGCATTACTGCTGGTTCGAGTACTTGCTGCTCCACTTCCATTTAGCTTTCAGTTAATGTAATTGGCAAGGCAGCTGATGATGACTCAAGTATATCAGACCTGATGGAATTTCTAGTTTCTGGGTTCAGCCCATAGCCTAACTGGTTGTTCTAACCATTTGGGGAGTTATCCAGGAGAGAGTTGTGCTCAGTGCTAATTCTCTCTGTGTCTCTCACTCCCTCTCCATTTTCTCTGTTGCTGTGCCTTTCAAATTAAAGAAATCTTTGAATTAAAAACTAAAAAGTTGTAACAACTACCTTGTGTAATCCGTTGTTTCTCTTCCAAATCACTTCCATGTAAGACTCTTGCAACCCTTCTCTAAAGCAACTCTTCTTTTTATTGCATTTGGCCTAGGGAATAATAAATAATTGGTTCAAAACTGGAGCTTTCTTTGTTGTTTTCATATTCCAATTGTGGTATTTGAAGATGCCTGCAGCCATCTCTTCACTGTCCCTAGCCAATGCACTTTCAAACAAAACCTGGTTGTTTCATTTGCCTATCTATCTCCTAAGATTTCTGTCATAAACTCCTATATTTGATATCCAACTTAGAAGGAAGAAAGGCTAAAAGATTGAGGAAAGCGCTCTCTCCTACTGGTAGTTAAAATTTCCCAAGGAAATAGTCGGGCGACTTCTCCAGAGGCTTCCAAGAGAGTGATCAACATGAAAACTCACCAACTAACCCAAAAACATAACAAAAAAAACCTTGGGGCTGGAACAATGCCTCAATTGACTTATCCTCCCCCTTCAAGTAACGAAACCCCATATGAGGATAGATTTATCCACTGGCTGCTTTACTTTCTATCCAGCTCCCTTCTTGTGGCCTAGGAAAGCAGCAGAGCATGGCCGAATGCCTTGGGACCCTGCATCCACTTGGGAGACATAAAAGACCCTGGTTCTTGTCTTCACACCAGCTCAGCTCCAGCCCAATGTCTTGGATCCTGCTCCTGCCTAGGAGACCAGGAATAAGCTCCTACCTCCTCGCTATGGCCAGTTGCAACGACTTGCACAGGGAACCAACAAATGTAAGACCTTTCTCTACTTCGCTTTGTAAATCGGTGTTCAAATTAAAATAATATAAATAACATCAACAACAATCTTAGTTTTAGCATTCAAAAGTCTCTGAGTCTTAAGAGAAAGAAATATTAATGAAAACAGATTAGCTCCCATTGGTATAGATATGAGCCAGGATGTATGTAACGTCTGCATGTAACGTAAACAGATCCAGATGCATTTCTATTCTATATTTTGCCTTTCAAATTCTAAGGGCTGAGCACAGCATGGTGGCCTAGCATAATGGTAAAGGTCCTCACGTTGAACGTGCCAGGATCCCATATGGGCAACACTTCTAATCTCGGCAGCTCCACTTTCCATCCAGCTCCCTGCCTGTGGCCTGGGAAAGCAGTCAAGATTGGCCCAAAGCCTTGGGACCCTGCACCTGTGTGGAAGACCTGGAAGAGGTTCCTGGCTCCTGGTTTCGGATCGGCTCAGCACCAGCCATTGCGCTCACTTGGGGAGTGAATCATCGGATGGAAAAGCTTCCTCTCTGTCTTTCCTCCTCTCTGTACATCTGAACTTGCAATAAAAATAAAATTTAAAAAACTCCTGAGGATTATCTGTCTCTTTAATGCACAGCTCTATTCCCCAATAGAACATGGAAATTTTACCACATGAGCCATGGAAATTTATAGTAGCTTTTACAAAGAAGTTTTGGTACTCACCTATAAGCCTGATCCTTGTCCTGTCTATCCTGACAGTTATACTAGATAATAGAACTGTGAGTGGCTTTCACAAATCAATTCGAGTGTACCTTTTTTACCCAAAGGACACTAACACATTCAAGTCATAAGCTTAACAAATCAGAGCATATTCAGAAAACCAACCAATACAAGCTTGTGATATGTAATTAATTTAGGTCAAGGACAAATTTGAATCCTAAAAATATCTTAAGTCAGACCCATTTTTTACTGTTTGAAAGATCCCAGATTCCAGCAGCGCTAAGGGCCAGCAAATACTGTTCATTCTTGCCCATGTAAAATGTGACAGAGATAACACAGAGCAAGAAAACTCAATAAAGGAAAAGATAACCTGAATCCCATCACTCTTCTAAGGCTATTTTTTTACAACTTCTCTTTTCTTAAGACCTATGCAATTGTCCATCTGCAGATCACCCCTTAGTCCCTGAAGTTTTCTGTTGCTAGCATAGCATAGAGCCCTAGCCCAAATTCTACTATCATTTTGAATGACTCCAACATACATGTAAATATCCACCTGATGCCTAGCTGGATAGGTATCTTGATATTCCTAAACACTCAGAGCACAGGTCTATCATTCCAGTTTTCCAACTACTTGATACCTGTTTTCTTGCTGCTAAAGCCTCATTTTGTGCCCATTTCCATTCTGATTTCTCAAATCTTATCCATATAACTCCTTTCTTACTAGATGTCCATCTCACTTTTTAAAAAGGCAACAAAACAGAACTTGCAACGTTAGGACAAATCCATTCTACATGTTACTAACTTTCTAATCCAGTCTTAACACTCATTTCTTGTTTGATATTGATCCATTCCCAACTTTCAGCATGGATACTCCTTAGAGGATCAATAATTTGTACGCACCCTCAAATCATCTTCTTTTAACAGCCTCATCCACATAACACTGTCCATGGTCAGCTTTCTCTCCTTTATGCACCTCTGCAGTTAAAAAAAACTTTACATTGCAAAATTCTCTTCCTCATTCCCATCATGAACTGTATGCTCACTAAAGAGGGGTCTTTCTAAGGCTATCAATTTACCCATGTTGTAGAGTCCTAAGTTTTAGCTTTTACCCACCCTGGTAAAGTGTGGAACTACTTTAGCAGGAAGAGAACAAGCATCAAGTTGTTGGAAAACTACACCCATCATCCTTCAAGATCCTATTTCATCTGTAATCACCTCTTTTCCGTTCCTGTCCCAACACAGTCAATTTTGACCCATATTAAAAGGGTGTTGATGTGACTCACTGAAGGGCCATGAAGTTGTGGTATAAATTGCATTCTGGTTGTCACATCTGCAAACAAAAAAAAAAAAGCTACCCATGGCACAATGATTAGGCACGCTAATATGAGAGTGTGCGATCATGAACAGGAAAGAGGAGTCCTATTCTGGTAATTCAAGTATGGAGATAATTGGGGTAAAGGTAAAACCAAGACTGTGAAGACGATGCTCCTGCTTAAACAATGATAACACTAGCCCCAGTGAAGGAACAAATAGCAACAAGTCTAGTAGCAGTAGCACCAGCAGCAGCACCAGCAGCAACGGCAGCAGCAATAGTAGCCATGCAACATCTACAAGAAGCCAAGACTAAAATGCAGGCATAGCTATGGAGTAGATCACTAAAACTATCAGGTGTCACATATCTGAGGCACTTGTGTTGCTACTGCCCCTTCTTCCACACAAGGTAAGCATCACTAACTAGTTACACAAATCTGTTTTACACTGAGATGAGCCCTGGTATCAGAATCCTTGTTATAAAACATACTTAAGGCAGACATTACCAATCAACTGGAGACAGTACTCAAAATGAAATCTATTGCTATCATTGTACAAAATAAGAGTCCTTGGCATGAGAATCAGATGACACAAATGAACTTCAGGAGTAAGCATTTTGAAGAGAGCTTGGCGTTGAAGGCAACTGGCGGGGACAAGTTGAGCCCATGGAGATCACAGAGCAGGCGCCCAATTAATGTCTGTTGATGATTCATTTTTTCATTCAACAAACATTTAATGAGGCCCACAATGTGCACGGGGTTAGGCACTGTGACTGCAAAGATGAACAAGGCACTGTCCTCGCCCTTAGGGGATTTAGTCTAGCAGACGAGAGCCATAGACTCGGACAATGATAATACAACCTGCTAAGTGTCTTAGCACTTAGCAGGTTGTATTATATCCATCCAAGTAGGATTTCTTCCGAAGGTTGCTGCTGAATCCATGAAGTCCTCGCAGGCACCAGGACCTGCTGCTGTTTCTGTCACATGATGATTGTCCCAAGAACTAGCAATGATAACTGTAATACACACACAGTGCCTTTATCATGCCATACAAATCTTTTCACATACACCCTGGAAATCAATTGTTGAATTAGATAAAGACGTTGAGATTCAAGGTTAAGTCACATGCCTTTGATCACACAGCTAGTAAGCAATTGAAATGGGTTCCAAATCCAGTTCTGACAATATACCAAACATTATTCTGTTTTGGGGACTATATGTAGGTGCAACACAATTTTTAAATAGCTTTCCCTTGGGAAGCAAGTGCAACAGCAATATATAGTGATCAGATTATGGATTGTCTTTTTTTGGGTTTCCATTCTTACCAGGCAGGGAAAAATCATTGAAATGACTTGATATTAGCATCCCAAGAGAAATTTTGAGACCAGTTCATTTTTCTTTCTTTCTCAATCCAAGCATAGGAAAAAAAAATAATAGCTTCTAATAAAGATTTCTTCTAATCCCTATAATATTCAATATCATTATCAGTAATAACTATATTTGATAAGCCTTTACCATATTCCTGAGCTATTCCTAGCAATTTAACTCCCATTAACCCCATAACCCCAATATCTTCTTTTCAACTCAACAGAAGAGGAAACAAAATTCCGAGAAAGCTTTAGACTCATGCTCAAGACCACAGTAGACCAAGGATATGCAGTCCCAAGGTCAAAAATCTCACTGTGCTGCTTTACTGCACTACTCAGGGCTTCCTTTCCCAGGCCTAAAACACTGCAGGATGATAAGCTACATAAGGTTCTCTGAGAAAAGTGTTCTAATGTTCTAACAGTCTCATCACTAATCATTCTGTTTCCTCCCCCCAAAAAAACATATCCTGATCCCAAAGTTCCAACATTTTTCAGCTCTTAGTACAAAATTTCCCAAACAATATTGCTTTGAGAAAAACACAGGAATGTTTAGACTTTTGCTCATTATATATACTCAGATTTACAGGTTGAACTGTATACATTTTAAATAGCCTAGGTAAAATAAAATATTTGAGATGTAAAAAGATGAATAAGGCCATTTCTTTTGCAAATAGATCATCTGTATAAAAGCCTGCACTTTTGAATTAAAAAAAAAAGCACGAAACTGAAACATTTTTTTTTGACACATGTGGCCAAGAGTGAACCTGTTACTGATAAAGAGGTTCAGCAACTTAGTAACCGGTATGTGAAAATATCTACTGCTGATTTGACATTTCCTTGGCAATCAATGCACTCAACAGATATAGTCTGTAAAGCAGGCTATGGACCAAAAGAAAGCCCCAATAAAATCCAAAGGAAACAAGAGGATTTCTCATTAAGGCCAAGGGTGAGAAGTGAACTCATAATGCCTTGACTTTTCCCTGATTGCCACCCTAATTGAACCAGAGTGTTACAACTAATTAAGAGGCTCTCCCTTTTCCCTACTTTTACCTTTTCTGGTCTTTTCTGTGGCATAATAATTTAAGTACCTATTTCTGCAAAGATATCCCATCTAATTTCATGAACTATTTGTAGCTCCCCAAACTCCTCATTCCAATATCTGTGATTTTGCTTTTAAAAATCTTATCCCGGAGACTATAAGGCCGACTATTTGAGTCAATGCACACTGGAAGGATTTACTCATCCTTGGATTGGTGAGATTGACATTTCAGAACTATCGACTCCAATCAAGCAGAATCCTCAGAACATGCTCCACACAGTTGACCCTGATATGTCACTGGGTGAAAATGATTTCTGAAACCCACAGATTTTGTGCATACCTCCATTGTAAAACATACTGCAGACTTGTAATTATATTTACATGTTGATCTCTTGCACTAGACTGAGAAGTCCTTGACAGCAGGGACTATGTCTAATTGGTCTCCATACTCCCATCCCAAGAAAAGCACCTGGCAGCTCAAAAGACAGTACACAGAGGGGAAGTTGAAAATGCAAGAGAACATTAAGGAGTGCAATCCAAATTAGGGACACTATACAAATATTCTAAGTGAAAGCTATAGGAGAGCTTAGCTCATCATTATAACAAAGACTCACGGCTGACTTTCCCCACCAACAAGCAAAGTTACCCTAAACTGAACATATCATCGGTTGGTATGTTTAAAGGAATTTGACTTGGGATCAGATTAAAACATATTGGGGATAGGAGACTTGAAGAAATGCCATCACCAAGATTCAAAATCTACAGTCTACACTGTTACCAATAGAGCCACAGCTCTGAGCCAGTCTCAGAGTACATTGTGGCTCCTATATTTGTAGACAAAAAACGGAGATCTCTTTAATATCCATACTGAATTGATTGCAAATTTTATAACATAATCTTTATCTGGTGGCCATTTACCCAGACGAGTTTCGAACCTGGAGCAGGAAATTTTAAGTATTTTTAAATTCAACTAGGACCTTATGATCCAAATTATTTTACACAAACTAATATACAAAATTTTAAAATTCTCCCTTAAATCTTTGATGTCTTTGGTTAATAACATGGTGTGTTACTGAGTAAGCACTACACAGGGAATTCAAAAAATATACCATTCACTGACATTTCCCATGAAAATACCTAGCCCAATGGCTCCCTTCCTAAATTACAAAATCAAAAAGTACATACAAAATTTCCAGATTTTCAACTGCAAAACATGAAGCTTCTAATGACTGTTCCGAGATCTTTTACACCCTACAGACTTCAAAGAATTGCTGAATCTCTACTTTTCCAGTAAATGCACCTTTTTCAAAAAGATTTTACTTTTAACTGAAAGGCAGAGCTACAGAGAGAAGCAGAGACAGATCTTCCATCTGCTAGTTAACTTCCAAAACAGCCGCAGTGGACAGAACTGAGCTGATCTGGAGCAAAAAATAAGTAGTGGGTGCAGGGTCCCAAGGACTTGAACCATCCTCTGCTTCTTTTCCAGTTAATAAGCAGTAGGATCAAAAGTACCTGTAAATTGTATATTATTGTACCTTCAAACTGTCTGTGCAACAGGCAATAAGATACAGTGATGTGATCTATGAATCAATAATCAATGAGATGGATTACATTATTATTACACTTTTTAAATGTGCCTGTTAACACTTAATTTTTAAAATTAGCCTCATGCTGATGAACATTTTTCTACCTTCTGGTAAGAATTTCCAAATTCCCGTGTAGATAAAACAACTAAATGATTGGTGTACTGGAATACTAACGATCCATGGCAAAGCTTATATTCTTGTCTCTAGAATTTCTGGATGAAGCCTTTGAAAACCTGTGGGTTTCCCTATGGCTCCTCTACGCTCAGAAGTGCAACAACTCCCTTGATATAGATACCAGATTCTTAACTGCCTTCGACATTAACAAAAACCGTAGAGACTTACAACCTTGACAGCCTCTTAAAGGAGCTCATGTGCACAGAGCAGGAAGGGATCCTAGAGCAAGAGGATAGAAGAAGGTCTGTTTCCCAGTCCCAGTGAGACCCCTGGAGGCCTCCCTAGGGCTTGCCTTACTGGGCAGGCTAGCAACTTGGCTTTTCCTAGACCTCACTAGGTAGCATATAACGTTCAATTATTTCTCACTTGCTAAATTGTTGGGGATTTCTCCGCTCACCTGCTCACCTGCCTAAGATTTTTCTACTCTTCAACTGCTAAATATATGGTTTGTTAGAGTTATAAAACTGTTTTGACTGCCCTAAGTTGCACGAAGTTCTATAAAATCCTGCTTGAATACTATAAACTGCTAAGTTTAAATAATTTTTAAAAAGTGTTTGTGCAGCGAGGACAAAAATCAACACTTATATGTGAGGGCATCACTACAAGTGGAAGCCTAGTCTAGAACACCACAATGCCTATTCTAAATAAATAAATCTTTTAAAAGCATAAATTAATTTTGTTCCTAATAATGATTTTAATGCCTAGTTTAAAAGAAGTGTACCTAAGAGCAGGTGCTGTGTGTGATAAAGCTGGCACCTGAGATATACACATCCCATATTAAAATGCCTGAGATCAATTCATGACTATTTGATCTAATCCAATGTGCTGGTAATGCATACCTGGAAACCAGCAAATGATTCAAGTACATGGTATCAGCTACCAACAACCAGGAGGGAGTTCCTGACCCCTGACTTCAGCCTAATCCTGCCTTGGTTGTTGTGGGAATTTGGTAGATGAACTAATAGATGGAAGATCTGTATATGTGGGTGTCATTTTGTCTTTCCATTAAATTTTTAAAAATCACCTATAGAAATAATTACCAAATTGCTTTTTGTACATGCACAAAAGAAATGAAGCTAATAAAATTTTGTATCCCACCAGAATAAAGTCCAAGCAAATCTGAAATTAACTATATCATCTAAAATGTTCATTGCAACATCAGAGAAACTACAGAAAAACAATATTTTAATCCCAAAGCTAGAACTGGTGTGGCAGTAGAGCAAACTAATCATCCACCTACTGTGTCAGCAACCAATACACGAGGCAGTTCACAGACTAGCTACTCCACTTCTGATCCAACTCCCTGCTAATGGCCTGCTGAAGCAGCAGACGATACCTCAGGTAATCAGGCCCATGTACCCACATGTGGAACCCAGAAGCTCCTGGCTCCTGGCTTCAGATCAACTCATCTCTGGTCACTGAAGCATTTTAGGGAGTGAGCCAATGCCAGGAACATCATTCTCTCTTTCTGTCTGTATATCTGCCTTTCAAACAAACAAAAAAGCAAAGACAACAAAAAGCTAGACTAAAAGCAATGAGGAACTTGAAACTGACACAATATTTAAAGCAGTAATGGATGAACAGAGAGATATGGAAAACAATCAGAAAAATTGCAGACAATAGTAATTTGTACCTTGTCAACAGTTACATAAATTTTAAACAGAATGCTCCAATCAAAACATTTTCACAGATGGATCTTTTTAGAAAACGAATTCATCCTAGGTGTCGTCTACAAAACACACATGAGGGTGCATCAAAAAGTGCATGGAAGGGACAAGCATGTGGGTATACCTGCAGACTCAGTGCAGTATCCAGCTACACTCTTAGCTTCAGCCTCTTAGTAATGTGCTGCAGAAGGCAACAAGGATTTAGTACTCGAGTCCCTGCTGCCCATACAGGGGATTACTGAGCAGGATTCAGTTCCAAGCTTGCAGCTTTGGCTTGGCCAAGTCACAGCTCCCATGGGAACTGCATGGTGAGTAAACCAGCAGATGGAAGATTTGTGAACATCTTCCGCCTCCATCTTGGTCTTACTCAGATTTTAAAAACCAATTCTCAGAATTGGTTAAAAATCTGGATACAAAATTTTTGGAAATACATAGTTTTTATACTATACATTTGCCATGAACTTTTTGAGGAACCCTCACATATCATTTCATTTTGATCCACGAGTTAAGTCAGCATTGCAAGTATCACAACACAGGAATATGGTTTCATGATACAGAAGTACAAAGTCTTAAGAACCATTCAACCCAGAATTTACAGTCCTTAATGGTCAATGTTACTACCAGCCAAAATCAGCTAACAATGCAGCAAAAGGTTAAATGGATAATGCTGGTAGACCATGCCCTTGCTCAAAAGCAACAATGAATTTGAATGTACACAGCAACCCAGGTAACACTGAAGTGCACTACCTAAACCAGTTTTACCATGAAAACAACCAGCAATTTATTTTTGGAACTGCAAATGACACAAGGCTGCAAAAACTATGAATATGTTTTTGCATATTTCATTCAACTTCCACAATGGAAGTTGCTAGAGAAAACGAAAACATCATCTCATCCAATATTGCATGATACCTGTGGCAAGGACAACAATTGAAAATCCAATAACAAATACCAGGCTTGCTGGCACCCAGCATGACTTACCACAGGCCATGTGCTTACTGCGGATACTATCATACTTCATAAAAGTCAACTACACTGCAACAAAAGTACAATACAAAAAGCATTTGAAAGACTTGGCAATATTGCAACAACGGCATGCCTTTAACACTCAGTATATTTTCAATATGAAACAACGTGCTCTAATGAATTAACTGGTCTAAAAGGGCCACGGTAACTTTGGTGCAAGATGAAAATGAATCATCAGTTTATGTTCAATTTGATGTTTTCACGGTAGACGCATGCAACTATGTGTTGACTATAAAATTTGTACAGAAATGTATTACATTAGTCCTTTAACTCTGAAAACCAGAACCTCTAAGTAGTCAAAATCAAACTGTAAATTAAACACACTTGAAAATACTTAAATCTTATATTGAGCTTAAAGGCACAGCAATTACTGCACAAGGCCTCCCTCTATGGGTAAGAAATGGGTAATGCAAGCCATGCAACTACTGTCAAAGCAAAGCAATAAGTTGAGGACTAGCGCCATCACAAGATCTTGACAAAAATGATTTATATGAGTAAGGTGTTGACAGGTGGCATGCTTCCACATAGTAAGAAAGAAACTAATGAAAACTGTATAACCCAGTGACCGACATCAAACTCGACAGTGAAACAAATGGAAAAAGCCTCAGGGGCATCTTTGGCTCATTAGCAAGTTAGATTAGTACATTAACACTGCTCTCTGAAACAAACTGTTGAAAACATGCGAAGAGCGGAAGCACACTGGGAGCTGAGCTCACTGCATGACACAACTTCCATGCAGGCAAATCTGAGCAAGAGAAAGTTTGGTTCAGAAAGAAACTGCTACAAGCAGTGAGCATTTAGGCTCAAAAATACAAAGACCTGAAAATCTGGTCAAAATGCAGCAAAATTTGAGGGAAAACCAGAAGAACAGCTGACAATCACATGATGAGGTCACAACACTCCAATCCGGCATGACTACTAACTTCTTTCCATGACCATAGCTTACACACTCAAGCGGGTGGGATCGCTGCCTGCTTGCTAAAAACTCAGGACACAACTAGACATTTAATCTGGCTACATGCAGCTTTTGGGGAGGAGCAGCTTGTGCATTTGTGAATGGCTCCCCCTTTTCATTGCACAAGGGACCAAGCATTCCAGGAAGGGATAACTTCCAGTGTTCACGGGGAAGACACGTTGGGCGAACGTACAGGTATCACTAAAGAAATCAACAATCAGAAATAAAGAAACCCCAAATCATAATAGGCTAACATGAAACTAGATTTCTTTCTGGAAAGATGATTACAGATGTATGGTAGGGAAATTATTTTGCATTCATACAAGGGAAAAAGACATTTGTCACTGTGCTGTGTTTTCCATGTTAAGCAGGTAATGTAAATATTCTAAACTTTATATTAGCCTTTTATATTAACTACATTCACAAATTCGAACATATCACTCCAATCCACGAGTACGGAAGTACTACCAGCACTTATCCACATCCTTTTATCGTATAATAATATTAATATCAGACAGTTCTGCTGGGAGTAGGGATCAACATTCCCATAAAGCACTGTTTGGGTAAGCTCAATACTGAAACATTTCCCGTACAGTTTCTACTCC